CATGACGATAGTTATAGCGCGAGAACAAAACGACGACACAGAGACAAAAGGACATCGCGTGTCCTTCTTGTCTCTGTGTCATCGTTTTGTTCTCACGCTATAACTATCTTCACCATTGGTTTGAGGTTAGACCTGTTTAACTCACCTTGAAATTGTTTTCGGCACTCCAGTCACTAGACTGTCGGCCTCTAGATGCTGAGTAAATCACACGAATTTGTACGCGGTTAACAGAATTTATCTGTGCAGCTGTTCAGTTGTTCAAACTAAGTGGCTAAAGTGGATGACTAGTTTGAAGGCTGTTCTTGAATGATACTAGCTAAAAAATAAGTTTTCATTGAAGGCGCTCTTTCGAGAGCTACTTGAACAGCTGTTTCACGACGAAGAGGTATCTGAGAGCCACCCTGACTTTTCTACCGTAGATTTCACCTCCAATATGAAGCATCTCTTTTAGCAGCTCTTGGCGCATTCCGTGGTAATCTAGTGATTACGGTTCCCAACTGCTCGCGCGAAGGTCACGGGATCGAATCCCGACGCTGGCGGCGGCATTTCGATGGAGGAGAAATGCTAAAGGCGCGTGAAACTTTGATTATAGTGCAAGTTGGACAAAACCAGATGCTAAAGTTTTTCGAAGCCCTCTTCTACAGCGTCCCTCATAATCATATGAATTTTTAAGACCTAAAACGCCAGATAATATTACTAATAATGATAATATATTCATCATGCGTTGTTGGCTTGAGATGTCAGTATGACTTATACCTTTATATGTCCAGGTCTTATTATGCAACGCAGAACCGAAGTGTGTTTACACTCGCACTTGTTTGTCTGTGCGCATATTTCTAGTCTGCCGTGGTGGCTCAGTGGTTAGGGTGCTCGGCTGCAAACACGAAGGTCGCGGGTTCGATCGCAGGCGCGGTGGTCACAATCGGTGGTGGTAAAATGTCTGATGCCTGTGTACTGTGCGACGTTAGCGTACGGTAAAGAACACCAGTTGTTCGTAATTTCCGGAGCACGCCACTGCGGTGTCTCTCACAGTCAAATGCTGGTTTTGCGGTGTAAAACTCCAGATAATATGGTTACGTTTTTAAGACCATTTACTGAAACTTGAAAACTTGCCAAACTGCAGCAATGCCGCGCCAAGGATGCTAGCCAACGGGACAGTTTCTTTAATAACGGACGCTATCCAGTACACTGGGGGAGTGTTAGGAATTTGCTGTGTCGCGATGGTAGCGGTGGCGAAGAGCGGTGAGCAGTCGAGCGGACTTCGCTGAAGCCTTTGCCGGAAGGCGAAGCAGGAAGGCAATCCGTTTTGAAAACAGCAACAAGAAGGAGCGTTTACTGTAGCAGGTTATCGTTTGTACAGAGCCGGCCAGCACGACAACGTCGGCTGGGGCAAAATCCTCTAACATGGGGCCAGCACGGCCTTAAATAGCGTTTGGGACTCTTCCGCGAGACCAGTTCCCCGGAACGGCACAGTGGCTCGGCTGAGGAAACGCAGCCATACCCGGAACTGCAAGGTGGTTCGGCGGAGGAAGCGACGTTATCCCCGGAACGGCACGGTTCTTCTGCGCGGAAGGCGGCACTGGGAGGGGGGTCAGTTCGTCAGAACAGCACTCGGTCTATCGTGCCTCGATGCGCTCGTTCGCCTCCGCTATACACTCGAGGCACCCTAACGCAGCGCCTCCAGAATACCATTCACCGATTTTCTTGCGCAGAACATCAAATAAACGTTTTGTTCACTCTCTTCAGACGCAAGACTATCGTCATTCGACGACATTTGCAGTGTAACTTGCGGATTCGGGCCAATTCTTCCCCACTCTATCTATATCCGTATTCTTTTTATCTTCGTATGTTTATTCGTTTAGTTCAAGTCACGTGCTTCTGTTCTAAGTCATTTTCTATTTTGTTTGCTTTCTTTTAAGGTTGAGGACTTAATTTCCGTACTAACAGCGCCCCGCGCACCAGCTCTTTTCATCGAAACCGCGTTGTCGTATCGGTTTCAGCGTTTGCTGTTAGTTTTGCAGTTAAGTCTGTTACTTACAATACATTTCCGCCCGTTCTGAGCCTCAGGAGAGTGACAGAAGACGCCACAGCCCATAGCATTTCAAGCACTCCTTGTTTGGACTGTCGCAGCTGTATCGCTAATGGAAAGTGTACACGCAGGCTGCCACACTCAAAACAGAAAGAAATGCGTCATGTTTTTTAACCGCGATCTTTACCAAGTTTTGGATTCTAGTGGCTAAGGTACTCGGCTGCTCATCCGCAGGTCGCGTGTTCAAATCCCGGCTGCGGCGGCTGCATTTCCGATGGAGGCAGGAATGTTGTAGGCCCGTGTGCCCAGATTTGGGTGCACGTTAAAGAACTCCAGGTGGTCCAAATTTCCGGAGCCCTCAACTACGGCCTCTCTCATAAACATATGGTGGTTTTGGGACGTTAAACCCCACATATCAATCAATCAAGTTTTGGTTGTACGCCAGAGTTTTGTCGGTTCTGATTATTCACGGCAAGTTGTGTGCGAAAAAAAAGCGGAATAATGGTACGAGCACTGAATGCATTGACAAATATGCCGCGCAGTCGATGAGTAATTGCCACAGTGCTATTCAAATCTATGCTTTGGGAACATGGCCAACTTTTAGGCTGCCCTACTGACGCCGGAACTTATTATCGGCCTCTCATTTGGTTGCCAAACTTTATTAGGGCCGTTGTGTATGCACATCACACTAGGCTAAGCGTTGGCAAGTATAGGGAGAGTACGCACTGACGTCACTGCGGCCGCAATTTTATTGTACAGAAAGCACAGAGAAAGACGCCTTTTCTTATCTTAATCTGCCTATCTTCAGAACAGCTGGCGAATCGTACATCTAATTGGCGCGTGATGACGTCGCGTGAATACCCTTATTAAAATATAACCAGTGAATGTAAGAAGACCACGAATCATGAATTCTGAATATTATTTAAGGCGATGCCATTCAGTGCTTTAGGTGGAGACTTGACCACCTCGTTATCTTTATTTATTGATCGCAGACCGTAAGCATAATTCATTAAATTCTCTGCTGCACATTTAAGGAAAAATGTTCATTGGTACTCACTAAGGCTTCCTTCCAATTTCCTCCAAATAATCTCCCTGTGATCGAGGCCTATGAAAGCAAGTTTCTCAAACACGCCCTGTATAGAACAGAACATCACGAAGAATAAATTTACTTAAGATGAACAGTGGCTTTTGAACTTCACTAAAAAATAAAAATGTTCACATATAACACACAATGTTTGCAACTCGGTAGCAAGAACTTTCGGTGTACAGCCGCTTAACTCGAACAAGGGAGCATCTGTCCTGCGTCCTTTACCCCGCCCGTTCGACCCGTGACCATTTCGCCACGGCGGGGAACAACAGCCTCTGTTACGGCTCAGCATAAGCTTTGCTTCCCTTCCTGGTTGCCTCTACGCGGCAGAGAAAAAATGTGAGACCAGGCGATGATCTCGGCGTCCGAATTTTCCTGAAATTCGGTTTTTCTTGATGCACTTCTCGCTTAATCTTGATCTCCGCGGCAATCTGCACTTCAAACATTTCATAGAGGACCTTTTTGCGACCCTACGCCTTGCCCTGAACCTGGCGTCTCGACTAATGACGTCACAGCACTTAACAGTGGCTTTAGCGTGCTTGGCGCCAGTAGTCTTTAACGCTTTACGCTTACGCCGACGCCTCTTTCTGTTCCAACTTCTCACAATACTGGCAGTCTCGACACACTTACCCATAAGTGTGCTGCCTTCTTTGTGTGGAGTCGAAGCTCCCGATTTGTTAGCTACACAGTAAATTTTTTTACACCCTTAAGGGTGTAAACTGGCTTGTCGCCAGAAGAACACCCTATGGGTGTTTTCAGATACACCCTACTGAAAGGGTGTTATGTGAACACCTTAGACGAAGGGTGTCGAGCAAAATGAAAATTGGGGTGTTAGGGTGTTTTGAACTGGAACACCCTTTTTCAAGGTTGTTGGAAAAGTGTGCACCCTCTGCTATATCGATAGGCGTGCGCTGCAGTGTTCCGCTTCAGGGCAGGGTGAAGTCAATATATATGTGCACGAATATCCATGGCTATATATCGACTTCCACAGAGCACTAACGGGTATGCACGGCACATGTATGCACGGCACATGCTAATATATATAGTACTCAAGCAGTGTGCCTGTCCTATTGCAGGATGCAGAGAATACACATATTTCAGCAACTTAATTTGCAGTTAAACCTGGCATGGCTAATCAAGGTTCAGTCTTACCAAGTTAAAAATATTGTGCATATATAAAAACAACAGTGCTATGTAGATGCGCATCGCTCTCACTTTTAAAGAAATCTGTTTTGATGCATTCTAGAAATAAATATGGATTTGTGCAGGCTAAATATCAAGAACAAGTACCACAAGGCAGTTTTTTCTCTAAATTATTTACATTATTGCAAAATTTTACACATGCTTCTTGCAATGTGCATTATATCATAATGGCCCACATAATCTAATCTGACCATAACCAAGGCAGTGTAATGTTATTTAGATTAGCAAACAAGCAGCAAAAACTATTGCACAATAGTTCCGTCTTGCAGGAATGTAATATGGTAATAACTAAAAAGTTCAATGACCATGGGTTATTTGACAGCATGTGTGCCCGGCTATGCAAAAGGAGAAACATGCACGACTTGTGAAGCAAATGCAAAATCAATAAATTTTCAATCACTAATACAATCAAACATAAAAAATATGCAGTAAGGCAAATGTGCAAGAACATTACCATATGGCATTATCATATGACTATGTGGATTTTACGACAATGTTTAAGAACTTCGCAACAACAGATCTTGGTGTTGTCTTTTCGAGCTCAAAAAAAAATCTTTCGAGGACGACAAGGGTGTTGAACGCTTTACAAGCATATTGAACATTGAACAACCAGTTTGCACACATAATTGCGACAAGTCCTTCCTCTGCATTAGTCACTTGAAAACACTTTGTCTGTCTACCATCAGCCAGAAAAACTCTGCATCTTCAAGGACGGCCCCATTATAAGATACACATGGCGTTGCTGGCATGTCGTCCTGTATAGGCAAAGTGAAAATGCATAAGACTTCACTGAGTGGCTTACTTCAAATTCTGTAACAGTTTAAAAACAGGTTTAGAGCACTTTAAAAGACACAACTTGTGTTTTAGCATTACAGGTGTGATATCTATCATTAACAACAATTTCAATGTGTGCAGCATAACTATGGTTTAACTGGGAGATTAAAACAATATAATGCATCTGACAAAATGAAGGGAACAATTGTAGTGTCACGAGTTCTCTAGGCAATCACAATGCAAAGCAATGAAAATTTATGCATCCATTCGACATACACAAACAAAAAGCTGGTATTCACTGCCCCTTAGCGTGCACAAAACTTGCCTCATTAGGGAATAGGGAAAGAAAAAAAGCCTCGTTCAAGAATTTAACAAAAATAACTGTGTTATACTTGAAAAATAAAAATTTTTTCTTCCTGGAAAAATAAAAACATTCCTTGACACACACAAAAAAAAAAACAACAGCAGGAGAAGGTGATGTAGATTGTACCATATATTTTCATCCTTGTTTCATCTTGAAATTTATTTTTACTTGCTGTAAAAATCTAATACAATGCAACTATAACGCTCATCACACTGTTATTCTATGTCTGTGTATTTAACCTGATACTCAGATTTTTTAAACCCGAGTATGGAGTGCATAAGGTTAAGGAGCACTCAAGAGTTTGAAAATGTCTCTTGTTTTGCAGACACAATAATGGTGGCGGAGGATAGCCTTGTGTAAATTTATTTAATGCACACTGCTTAAAAGCAAGACATGTCACAAAGCAAACAAAGCATAAAATGAGCCTGGGGCCTTGCATTCATATATAAAGGAATCAAGTCACAAAACTAATTCGTGATTACACTGATCAGATAGAGAGAGAAAGTATATGCTAGCAGGAGTTACTGCTGTTTTGCAAAGCCACATGCGAAACAATGTTTAGAATGAAAAAACACCATCTTGACGTAAAATGCAACCTAAAGTGAGTATTGCAAGGCATCATTTAAAGCATATGGACGCAAAATTGCAAATCAATGTCATGCACTTGAAAAAAAAATACTGGCTGACTGACCTTCACAATTCCTTCATTTACGTCGGTCACAGCTTACAGCCACAAAATTATGTTTTACACGTTATCTATCGCCATCTCTAAATTTGGTATTACAGTCAAACCCCTTTACGAGAGACACTGATATAAAAGACAAACGGGTATCCGAGACACCAGTGTGCCTACACTAAAATATGGGCTGATAAGAAAATGCGTACGAGGCACCCTGCTTATAAGAGACATCTTGTATAAAAGACAAGAATTGCCATCCGAAGCATGCCTCTTATAAAGGGGTGTAACTGTACTGGCATTGCTTTGTCATAACTTGACCATTGGCCTCTGCTAGCAATAGTGAGTTCGCTTTGATGCAGTTTGTCTAAATTTTCATTTGCTAACATGCAGTGACATTAGCTACTCAGTGTTTCATATACTCACAGTCTCTTGCACAAATAAAATTGAGCATGCTGACCGTTCCTTCACATTCTCACAGACGATTTTCAGAGCTACAAGTGCCATAATATCTGCAAAAAATAAAATTATGCAAGGCTATTTTTTGACAGTAATAAATAATTTCAAACTGTCATAAGAGGCAATGAAGCATGCATTTCAACATCTAAAATGCTTTCTAAATAAGCCTGGGAAGGAGAGATGCAAGCTTGTCATACAAAATTTGTAAAGAAGCGGCATATTCTCAAGAAATTGGCTAGAAGGGTAATGTGTTGACTTCAATCACAATTGTATAAAACACAAATGTGATAGCCAGCTTTCACAGAACACGTGAAAACATATTCTTCATAGGAATGAATCTGGTAATTACACTTTCTTTGAATATAGATTAATTCTAGCCGTGACTTCTACAAAGGAGGGCCATCAGCATACTGCTAAGTATTCCCTTGTGAGAAAAATATTCTTCGTGGCCCTAAGAAAGGGTGTTACATTTAGGAAAGGGCCAATGGTGCAAGTGTATTGAAATGTATCAAAAGGGTGAGTTGGGGCAGATAATGTGAGCTCATGGATTAAACAACAATAAAAACATAAAAAAGGACTCCATACAGGCATTTCTGATGTTCAGCTATCATATGTGTCTTTCATCCTTTATGCTGTTCAAAACAGTAAGTGTAAAGTTGGCAGTCTGTACAGGTTCATCCATTTATCAGATGTGTAGCACTTGAAAGAAAACATGGACAGCACACACAAATGAGCTCTGAAGTGCAAACTTAGGGCACATTGAAACAACTTTTCTTATAGGTTGTGATACATATGGCCTCCTAATATACAGCCTCCTGTGATTTGACCTCCTGTGATAAGTTAGCCTTCTGATACATATGGACGCAATTCCACTCTGCTAGCCTTTAAGTGAGGAGCTGCATAAAATCTCTTTTCACGAGCAAGGATGTGTGGCTGCCAACATTTCAAGTACCCTTGCATGTGTGTGCTGCGAACAGACTTTTCAGGGCCATTTTTCTTCAGCTTCTACAATTATTAGAAGCTGTGTCATTACAAGAAAGCAAGAAATGATACACAAATAAAGCAAACAATAAATTTGAAAGCACTGAATTTTAAAAAAAATCATAAAAGGTATACAAAAGGTAAGTAATACATAAGTACACAAACATGTTTTACTCTCTCTGCAGATTATATTTTTAGAATGAAGATGAGCTATTTATGATAATGCAGATTGCAATTTTAAGTACCACAAAAAAAGTAGGTCAACACAAGAACATAGTGCTAAAAAAGTATGTGACCTGAGCAATGTAACTGATTGAATTCACTAGGAGTAAGCCAGAGTAACTCTGATTTAAGTGGCAAAAGCTCCTTGAACAGCTTGGGCTAGTTTCATGAAAGACAGGCAATTATTAGGATCCTTGATAGGGAAAACAATAAAATTATTTGCTGATAAATATTATAGTATACGGGAGAGTGCATGCATATTACATTGTGGAAAATTAACTATGGGGTTACCGAAAAACTGTAATCTAATGTCTTACAAACCTAGCAAGTACGCAGTTATCCTTGTCTGTTGTCTTCCCTGTTTTTACACAATCATATTTCAAGTATCGAGTACAATCCAAGCTGAAATAAAATTCTCATGAACTCACGTCTTGTTCTCATCCTTTTGGGGTCCATTTGACGTGCTCTCTCCAACATTTGCCTCTACGCGGCAGAGAAAAAATGTGAGACCAGGCGATGATCTCGGCGTCCGAATTTTCCTGAAATTCGGTTTTTCTTGATGCACTTCTCGCTTAATCTTGATCTCCGCGGCAATCTGCACTTCAAACATTTCATAGAGGACCTTTTTGCGACCCTACGCCTTGCCCTGACTGGCGTCTCGACTATGACGTCACAGCACTTAACAGTGCTTTAGCGTGCTGCCCAGTAGTCTTTAACGCTTTACGCTTACGCCGACGCCTCTTTCTGTTCCACTTCTCACATACTGGCAGTCTCGACACACTTACCCATAAGTGTGCTGCCTTCTTTGTGTGAGTCGAAGCTCCCGATTTGAGCTACACAGTAAATTTTTTTACACCCTTAAGGGTGTAAACTGGCTTGTCGCCAGAAGAACACCCTATGGGTGTTTTCAGATACACCCTACTGAAAGGGTGTTATGTGAACACCTTAGACGAAGGGTGTCGAGCAAAATGAAAATTGGGGTGTTAGGGTGTTTTGAACTGGAACACCCTTTTTCAAGGGTGTTGGAAAAGTGTGCACCCTCTGCTATATCGAGGCGTGCGCTGCAGTGTTCCGCTTCAGGCAGGTGAAGTCAATATATGTGCACGAATATCCATGGCTATATATCGACTTCCACAGAGCACTAACGGGTATGCACGGCACATGTATGCACGGCACATGCTAATATATAGTACTCAAAGCAGTGTGCCTGTCTATTGCAGGATGCAGAGAATACACTATTTCAGCAACTTAATTTGCAGTTAAACCTGGCATGGCTAAATCAAGGTTCAGTCTTACCAAGTTAAAATATTGTGCATATATAAAAACAACAGTGCTATGTAGATGCGCATCGCTCTCACTTTTAAAGAAATCTGTTTTTGATGCATTCTAGAAATAATATGGATTTGTGCAGGCTAAATATCAAGAACAAGTACCACAAGGCAGTTTTTCTCTAAATTATTTACATTTATTGCAAAATTTACACATGCTTCTTGCAATGTGCATTATATCATAATGGCCCACATAATCTAATCTGACCATAACCAAGGCAGTGTAATGTTATTTAGATTAGCAAACAAGCAGCAAAACTATTGCACAATAGTTCCGTCTTGCAGGAATGTAATATGGTAATAACTAAAAAGTTCAATGACCATGGGTTATTTGACAGCATGTGTGCCCGGCTATGCAAAGGAGAAACATGCACGACTTGTGAAGCAAATGCAAAATCAATAAATTTTCAATCACTAATACAATCAAACATAAAAAATATGCAGTAAGGCAAATGTGCAAGAACATTACCATATGGCATTATCATATGACTATGTGGATTTTACGACAATGTTTAAGAACTTCGCAACAACAGATCTTGGTGTTGTCTTTTCGAGCTCAAAAAAAATCTTTCGAGGACGACAAGGGTGTTGAACGCTTTACAAGCATATTGAACATTGAACAACCAGTTTGCACACATAATTGCGACAAGTCCTTCCTCTGCATTAGTCACTTGAAAACACTTTGTCTGGTCTACCATCAGCCAGAAAAACTCTGCATCTTCAAGGACGGCCCCATTATAAGATACACATGGCGTTGCTGGCATGTCGTCCTGTATAGGCAAAGTGAAAATGCATAAGACTTCACTGAGTGGCTTACTTCAAATTCTGTACAGTTTAAAAAACAGGTTTAGAGCACTTTAAAAGACACAACTTGTGTTTTAGCATTACAGATGTGATATCTATCATTAACAACAATTTCAATGTGTGCAGCATAACTATGGTTTAACTGGGAGATTAAAACAATATAATGCATCTGACAAAATGAAGGGAACAATTGTAGTGTCACGAGTTCTCTAGGCAATCACAATGCAAAGCAATGAAAATTTATGCATCCATTCGACATACACAAAAAAAAATACTGGCTGACTGACCTTCACAATTCCTTCATTTACGTCGGTCACAGCTTACAGCCACAAAATTATGTTTTACACGTTATCTATCGCCATCTGTAAAGTTGGCAGTCTGTACAGGTTCATCCATTTATCAGATGTGTAGCACTTGAAAGAAAACATGGACAGCACACACAAATGAGCTCTGAAGTGCAAACTTAGGGCACATTGAAACAACTTTTCTTATAGGTTGTGATACATATGGCCTCCTAATATACAGCCTCCTGTGATTTGACCTCCTGTGATAAGTTAGCCTTCTGATACATATGGACGCAATTCCACTCTGCTAGCCTTTAAGTGAGGAGCTGCATAAAATCTCTTTTCACGAGAGCAAGGATGTGTGGCTGCCAACATTTCAAGTACCCTTGCATGTGTGTGCTGCGAACAGACTTTTCAGGGCCATTTTTCTTCAGCTTCTACAATTATTAGAAGCTGTGTCATTACAAGAAAGCAAGAAATGATACACAAATAAAGCAAACAATAAATTTGAAAGCACTGAATTTTAAAAAAAATCATAAAAGGTATACAAAAGGTAAGTAATACATAAGTACACAAACATGTTTTACTCTCTCTGCAGATTTATATTTTTAGAATGAAGATGAGCTATTTATGATAATGCAGATTGCAATTTTAAGTACCACAAAAAAAAGTAGGTCAACACAAGAACATAGTGCTAAAAAAGTATGTGACCTGAGCAATGTAACTGATTGAATTCACTAGGAGTAAGCCAGAGTAACTCTGATTTAAGTGGCAAAAGCTCCTTGAACAGCTTGGGCTAGTTTCATGAAAGACAGGCAATTATTAGGATCCTTGATAGGGAAAACAATAAAATTATTTGCTGATAAATATTATAGTATACGGGAGAGTGCATGCATATTACATTGTGGAAAATTAACTATGGGGTTACCGAAAAACTGTAATCTAATGTCTTACAAACCTAGCAAGTACGCAGTTATCCTTGTCTGTTGTCTTCCCTGTTTTTACACAATCATATTTCAAGTATCGAGTACATCCAAGCTGAAATAAAATTCTCATGAACTCACGTCTTGTTCTCATCCTTTTGGGGTCCATTTGACGTGCTCTCTCAACATTTGCCTCGTGTTTTTCACTACAACGTATTTTCTTCATCACTGCCAATTGGGTTAATTTATCGATGGCTGTTGAAACCTTCCCGACTGGTTTTATGTCGGTACAGTCTTGTAAAGTCATTGCAAAACGCATAGAATAAACAGCGAGCACCATTATAAAACAAAATGTCAGGCCTTTCATGATGAGCAGCCTCACCTACATAATTTTCATATATTCTAAAATAGTTTCTGGCGGCACCCAAACAATCTCTCTACAAAATACAAATAGAACATTGCCCACTAAATATATGTCCTCGATCATGAAATAGACAACATTCAAATAACTATACAGTATGCGCTCAAAATCAAGTCCCCATGTTTTTTTTATCTTTACTGTCAGCTCGTTTTCATTGAAGCGGCGTCATACGAAGAAAACCGAGGCCTAATGTTTCCACTTTTTTCTTGCGTTTAGAGCAAGAGTCTTGTTCTGGCAGACTTGATGCCTTCAGAAAGTATGTGAGGGATTATTGGTAAACTGCAGCTATAGTATAAAAGTAATATGCCGCGGGGTTGCAGCAGGCAAAAGGTGTTCAACACTCATCGCAATAGCTTAGAGCATGCAGCACTGGCTAACACTCCCAAGTTTAAGTGCACACATCGACCCCAATTAAGTGTACAGGAGGAAGGCTGGCACGGTAGCTTGACTGGCAGAACATTATATGAGTTACTTGAAGGTTGCAGGCTGGGACCCCAGTGGCAACAAGTTGTATTCTTACCCAGTTAAATTTCTTCACTTTTATATAATTACAGCAATACAGTTAATAAACCACAGATGTACCCTACCTAGAAGTAAAAAAAAGCCAACGTACTCGCTGAAAGTCCATCATATAGGGGTAGTTCTTTTTCACATCACGAATCGTTTTCGTCGCAACGTCAGGAAGCCTCTTCCCAGCTGTCAAGGCCATTAACTTTTCCACGAGTTGCTCATCCGGCAATAGTTTTTTGGTTTCCAAAACAAGTCGATCTTCATGTTGGCAATACTGTCATCATCTTCTGCTGTTAGATCTGTGATGCTCACACTCTGGAATTGGAATCAAATTGCAAGCTATTGATGAGACTATTCATGCAGCTTTTACAAATGGGTGGGATTTTCTGTGAGCACGGTATTAAACTATCCTCACCAATTTCCCAGCTTTTTTCCTTTGAAGCTCAGTGGTGCCTCCTGTTTTCTTTTGGGCACCGAATTTCTGGCGACTTGCTAACACATCTTCATGATCATCCAGCTTCCTTCTTAGGTTTTTATACTTATTGCGGAGGGCTACTTCCCAGGAGTCCTGTCAATTCGGAAAATGAAGGTGCTCAATATATTCATGTACACAACGATACATGCATACCTGGCCTTTTCAATGAATTTCTTTTCATAATAAATACACAAACTAAAATTCAAGCACTATAAGCCCACTGATATCAGTGACTTTAGAACTGCTGGTAATGAAATGCACTTTTAATAAATATATCCAAAGCATTCACTAGTTGCAAAACATTCACAAAATGTCTAGCAGCACTGCTTATTTATTAAAAAGTATGTCTCACAGATAAATGGCTGCTGCAATACCCTGACTAAAATTTAGTAGCACGCTCACTTATCCACTCGTCTGGTGATTTATGTAGCTGCAGAACATTTGAGCCTTAGTATTGTGTATGCGGCCATATACAAGACCCCAACTTGTTGCTACTCATGACAGCGGCTGCGAATAAGAAAAGTGACCACTACCAATTACACCCTACAGCATATGAAGCTTAAGACTATAATGACCCCACGAGTCCCAGCTAATGAAGAACCCTCTTTTTCTCTTTGTTTTCGATTTTACATATGAATCTGTGCACAATAGTCTTGTAATTGTAAGCATCATACAGTGTCACTTCAATGCAAATTAGATTTTCAAGATTGAACATATGTTTTATTAAAGTGAATGTTGTTATATCAATGCATTGTGAAACACTGAAAAAAATGTACCCAAAACTGCTTTTAAATGTGATTAAGGAGCTTTAAGGAACATTAGGGAGCAATGTGATTAAGCGTAAGTATCACATATCTTACAGCATAACAGTACTTACGTGCCCACTTCCAATTACATCTTTCAGCTGTGGATACTTGTCAAGAAGCAGGGTTGTCACCTTACTGTAGAAACAACGCGTTGGATACCTGCAAGACAGTTGAGCATCGCAGCTTAAGCTGTCACAACTTGAAGTTTAACAGGGCAGGACACTATATTTAAATGTGCACCTCTGTGTACTCACAGTGTGTGCTTGGCCATTTCATTGTGCAGGATGTCAATGATTTGCCTGAATGTAGAAGGTGTTAGCAGCGGAGAGCTTATCACTTTTTCATGGAGGGCACCAAGGCTGGGTAGTTTAAAATTTATGCCATCATTATCCCCTGAGCCGAGTGGGCTGTAAAAAATGTATCATGATGCAAATTACCGCAAGAAAAATAACACTTCGGGTAATCTTTCTGCTCATGCACACGTTAAAAATAAAGCCAGAAATTAGCAGATATTTGGGCTGAATAAAACAAACAACAGAAACCTGCAGTAAAAGCAACACAAACACACTCAGGCCAAAAGTGCTAGACAGCAGTTTATATATCAGCAGTTTAAAAGTTTATGAGTCATTCACAATAAAACATCTAGCTTGTCTGCTTGATTTATAGTGTTCTCAAGGCTATAGAAGCTGAAAAAGTGAGTTTGCAATAGATATTAACAGTCAAGTTGAATGTCATGGCTGGATTGTTATTGCAATGCTTTAAGTGTGCCTCACATCTATAAAAACAGCTCAAGTAGTTTTGATCAAGGTGGAAGATAAGAAGAACATGACTAGAACATGCATTTCTTACTGCATATTCATTGCACTTCTGCAATTCCTGAACGCACATGTGTAAGTGTAGCTCTAAAATCGCCATGGCTTTGAGAAGACTGCAAGTCATTAACCAATCAGTGTTCTTATCTTCTAATAATGCTTTTGATTAGAAAGTTATACAATTCAAAAATTACATTATTTGAAATATTTCAACAGAATATGACTTTGTAATAATACATGCCAAATGAACACAAATATTTATATAGCCACGAGTAATGTTGCAAAGTTTACGTAATAAGTTTTTCAAGTTTATTTAAAGGATTAAGCTATGATGACAAGATCAACACATAAGCACTAGTGTGACTGGTGAACAGCTGTTGTTACTGCCTAGAGAAATGGTGACGTACATTCGTGTCACAGCTCTCTAATTATACCAAACAACTATCATTCCTTCACAAACATGTTAAATAACTGCAAATGAGGTACCCTCAAACAACACTGCATAATTCTTATGTAATGCTTATTGGTGATAATTTTCATTTCAAGTTGATCTTTTCCTAGTTTGTTGATGTATCATTCCGAATTGAATATATTCAATTCAACCTGGTTTTTATTACTCGGAACTGCTTCAATATGGTGAACTAATATTTGCACATCTCTACCCATAACTCATAGCTGTTCATACTGCAATTACAAATGATCCTAAAAAAGCCCTTACCGCTCGACAGGCTCAATGACCATGCTTGGTGTGTCTTGCTCACCAGTTTCAACAACAGCTTGTAATGTGCCCTGAAAGCAAGGGAACGAACAATAATGCAACTTTTACATGATACAAATAAGGGGAGGACAACCAGCACATTAACCATTTCACTACAGTCGATGAGCATGTATCTGTCATGAGACTTGGTAACGAAATGAGCCATGATGACTGCACTTTTTATCAGCAGACGTTAGTCTGCAATTGAACTTATTATAATAAGGCTATATTCATGATACTTTTGTTCCCTGATGCCAGATGGCTACAACTGTTTATGTTGGGCTGTTTAGGTCTCGTTTTTCATTTTTGAGAAATCCCATATATTGGTTTCATTGAAGTCACTTTTAAGGTATTACTTTCATGCCAATAGTGAAGTAAACGAACCCCACTGAGTTGAAACAGTGGCACCATTTCAATAAAAAACAAATTATTAATATTTCCACAAACTCAGCAAAGAGGATATTTTTTGTTTTCTTCTTTTCATATGTTTGCAGAAGGGGCAAATAAATTTCTTATATCTGCAATCCATGGCCTCTCACAAGACTGAAGGCATTTGCTTGAGAACCATTTTTCAACCAGGAGGTCAGAAAATCGTGATCACTAATGCGTTAGTATACGCATTTCCGCAAACTGGCCTGGTTCTTGCAAAATACCTTCAGCCACCTTGCGGATCTCCAAAGAACTCATTTACAATACCTCATTGACATTTCAGAAAGCTAACAAGACCCGCATACAAGTAAAGATCCATACTATGGGCTATAAACAACATTTTTATGTCTCATTAGGCACCCTAATAAACTCCGCTGCACTCCATTGGCAGTGTTGTTCAATGGTACTTCGCTAGCTGTTGGTGAGTAGTGAGTAATAACATAGCAAGGGCAACTTAATAAGCTGTATTTCGTAAAGTTGCAGTGTTACGATAATTGAGAGCTCCATCTTTTATTACTTTGGTCAGTAAATGTACTAGATATTGCTTATAGCATGGAGATATTTAAATACACGCCAGTCTTTCACAACACATTCTAGAAACTGTAAACCTATTGCTATAGCTCACACTGCCATCATTTATTATATTACTGTAAGCCCTCGCGGGCAGTTTCAGGGGTGGGAATGCACAATATACAATATTGAGATACAATGCATAGCATAGAGGGCAGCGGCAAGTTGGTATTCATACATTGCAATGACGAGGTGGTAGGTATTTTACAATAATAACGGCAGAGCTGGTTTAAGCTTTTCATTGCACCTGGTAGTGCAAGCAAAAATCGGCATTTCCATGAACTGGTACACGCTCTCTCGTACTATTTATGCACTGTGCACAAGAAAACTGCAATGAAACTTTTCCCCTGTCTAAGAATAAACCTCTGGCGCAGACACTTTGCCATTTCTTTTTGCAGAGAAGTGAAATGTTTTTTTTAGTCTTTTTATATTTTCAGAACGGAAAATATCAGGACCACCCATCTTAGACAAATGATAAGCTGTCTACTTGGGTATTTTAAGATGTTTGCAGACTTTTTACGACCAGATTCTGCTTTGGCGCACCATTCCATTTAAGTTTCACCATTTCCGCTCCACGGGTCATTTCGGTATTATGCTGTGCTTCGTGCCGGCCAGGTGCGATTACTTATGATTTCCCACTAGAACTTTGATATATACGGCACTAAAGCCCAAAATTAAAATGCTAATTGAACAGTTTTAAATTTGTCACGTGGTCGTCATTTTAGCTGCAGAAAGTTATTTTCGCTTCGCCATCGAGTTTGTGCGAAAACGACAGGAACCAGCGTATCATAGACTTTTTATTTTAAAAAAACTGCAATGGTTAAAAAAAGGCACCCTCCTAAAATTGCGTGAGTGCACGCAAGTTTGTGTCACACGCAAAAAAAAAAAAAACATAACCAGGGCCTTGCATGCCAGCGTGCGAAAAGCGCAGACAATAAAACAATTTCTTCAATACAATTTTTTTAATTTAAATAATACTTCAAATAAAATACTTCAAAATTTATTAATTCATTCCCTGCTATTCCACAACACCGATTTCACCCGCACCTTCCGCGAAGAAACACTGCGCTTGACTCAAGTCCCCCTGCTTTGCTGCTCACAATCACACTTCCTCTTTCACCCACAGCATACATGTCCCTAGCCGTAAGTAATATTCCAACAAAATGTACTCAAATCAACATAAGCCGGTAAAACTTAAAAAGCAGCTAGATCGTAACATCCGCAAAGGATTTGTACCATATTCGATAACTAATCTAGAGAAGAGCATCAGGCGTTAGGACTTAACATCGGACATTCTAGAATGACATCAGCTGATAACAAACTCAGGCATTTCGTGCCGTTTTGCTCTCGCTGCCAAAAATCGCTCGCGCCAACAGTTGCAACTGATCATCAAAACTAAATAACTGATAATTTAAATATTTATAAAAGAGCATTTAATCTTAATATTAAACAATAAGAACGAAAAACTCAGAAAATTTACCTGTGACGATGAACATGACGGCGCTTCATTCCCGCTACTTTCTTGCTGTGCCATAAGAACGATTTTCGACATATCGGGTATGCTGTCTTCAGTAGCGAGGTCGACAAGTTCATTGAACAGAGGATCCATTACCTGCAAACCAACCCCGTATATTGTCAATGAACTGAAAAAGATGTATGAGGGTTTGTTCGCTACTGTATGTTCCTAGATCGCGAAGACACGGCTCAGCTGCCAGCACGCATGGCCTGTTGGAGACACGGCCTCCGAAATGCCTTGCACACACACACACACACACACACACACACACGCGCGCGCGCGCGCATGCACGCACGCACGCGCACACAAACACGCACGCAGGTACGCATAGGCATCTTTACTCGAAATAAATTTTCGACTAATCCCCTCACTATGCAATTCTCCTCACGTACACTTGAGACAACTCCACAACTCGCATCATACACGCTATATATGTTAATTCAACAATACAAAACACTCGAGAGCGCTCCAACTTACAATACACTCTAGATCGACGATAACACAGGTTTGTGTACGATAAGAACAAAAGTGACATTCTTGAAAATATTAAAGCGAGCGCCTCACTACGTTCTCATGCTTTATTTGTGCATTCTATGAAAAGTGGTGTGCGCTGCCAACCGTTCAAAATCAACGAACTTTGTTGAAGCGAGTGTAGTTCAGCCGCATGCTCAGCGAACTAAGTTTAAAAGTGCACGGCGAACTCGTTCGGCCACATCGCAGCCGATGTTATCTCGAGTATCAACACGTTTTTTTTTTTTTTTGTAGTGGTGTGTGGGAGGGGTGAGTTAAATTACATCAAGGAGAGGTTAATGCGGTCAGAACGTAAACACAAGGCTTGCGACCATTGACAAGCCTTCAGTGAGGCCTAGCTACGATGTCGATACGCGAAACATGTAGTTGCCTTTCGACATACTGTCAATTCGGGCACGCGTACACATGTATGAGGCAGACAATAAAAACGCATGAGTTGTAAAATAATACAAAAACTTGCACGCTTAGTTTTCCTCTTAGAAACACTGTTTCGGCAAACCGGACCCCAGTAGCAATAGTACAGAAGCGCACATCCCCAGCCTTTAAATACGAAACTACGCAAACTCGCAGCAAAAAAAAAGGAAAAAAGAAAAACGGGCCTCAGCTTTCAACGACGATTAAAAGCACTTATCGCTCTCAACAAATACACAGTTGAACAAATAAGCAGTCACTTACCTGAAATTTGCTGCAAGACAGTTGAACTTGCGACCCAAGGACAGGACATGTGGCAATCGCATGTTTGAGGGCGACCACGGAACCTTCTTCCAAGTGGTACGTCCGCTTTATCTGAATGTGCGGTACAGTCAGCAGACAACGGATCGGCGGCATCTCGGATGACGCAGCGCACAAAATTGACGTTCCAAAGTCCTCAGCGCGAGTGAAGAAAATGCACGCCAAATACTATTCAAACGCTTCAGCACTCTGCGAACGGCGCAGATAGTCACGTTTTCAACGGCGCAGTTATCAAAATGGCGCGCACTCACGAGTACTGACGGAGGAGTGAAAGCTTGCGGGTGTGGAAAGAGATGCCGAGAAAGTGCGGAAGCATCACACCTTCTATATGCAATGGTATATCCCTCCGCGCTCGCTTCTCTACGTTGAATTTGAGGGGGTGGAGAGGGACAGGGGGTAAACCATGCTTACATGGACACGACCTCTCTGACGCGTTTGCTGCTGGAGTCGTCACTTGCAAGCGAACGTAACCTTCCAAAGACGCTGCCACTCTTTCTCTCTCGTCTCCTTACATCTTTCATCCCCTCTTCCCGAAGGCGCTGTGCCCTGCCACGGCCGCCGGAGAAAGAAGTAAAAAAGAAGGGCCAGCAGCCGTCGTCGTGCTAACAGCGCTCCCGAAAGGAAGTGGTAATGGTGGCGTCTCCTTCTTGATCAAGCACATCCTATATTCGAGTAGCGCGTGAGAACGGCGTGCGCTCGTCGTGGCTGTTGAATTTGAGCCTTTTGAACTTTCCGGAATGTCGTTTGAGTGTCGTTTGTAGAAAAATTATTTCAAAAGTACCTCTCCTTCTTTCGATACCAAATTTGTTCCACATGTAAATATAAAAATATTTACACACATGTTGAACCTTTGCGAGTGTGTGTTCATTTTTGTGCATTTTCTTGATTGTTCTTGTACAGTTTTCTGCGAAGCAAAAAGTGTATATCATGATCTTTTCTTATGAAAATAAAGATATTACAAAAAATAACGTTGTGACAATGGCTTTATAAAGGATTTCCTTGTTTGTGTGGTGTCGATGACACCATAATCTTAAAAAATGCAGTACAACATACACTTTGCTCCACTCAAGTCTTTTAATATGTAAGCATGGATGCATTTAATACTCGTGCCACACGGGCAGAAAAAATGGCATTTATCTCCTATAATGCTTTCAGATTGAAGGCCATTCGCGTGGTGCCACATCACGGATGAACGAAATCGCAATCGCCCAAATGCCGTTCGTCCTCTAATGTCATCGCCAGGACTCATTTGATTGAGAAATATAAAACGACATTTGATTCGACTAGAAGGAAACTTTTCGCGGATCTTATTTACACCAATCACTCAAACAACTGCTTAAAACTTCTCTTCAGCTGGTATATATGCAATGTAAAATAAATGCGCCAGGCGCCATTTCCTTTTTATGCTGTGGATCTGACTAGCTTTGGCTTAAGTTGCCATGGTTGGTTGCAACGTCGTGAAACAAACTAATGAACGAAAGCTAACGGCAGTGTAATATGCTTATTTATTCTTTCAATTATCATTGGATGTGTATGAAGCTTGTAAACGCTTGTTTATTTTTTATTGCTATATATACTCACCCAATGCTCACTAGGAAGGTGGTGCGATCGAAATCATCAAGTCAAATGTCATTCGCTTTGGACATAACAGCAACGCCGAGAAAAAATGTCATTCGGGAACTGAGTGCACGTGTCTTCGCTATATATACCGAATGTCATTTTCTGTGCCCGTGTGGCACGGGTACACCCTTAAGTCCTTCCCTTAACACCCTTCATCTTGTTCAACAACACCCTTTTTGCCTGTACACCCTTCTTGTAGGGTGTTCCGAAAAAAAAGGGTGTGAAATTTTGAAAAAAGGGTGTAAATTGCGATAACACCCTTTTTACACCTATAAGGGTGTAAAAATTTTACTGTGTAGCGTTCGCTCGGGCCCGTTGCTAGCTGTCTCTGTCTGTGACAGAACGGGAGTCCCGATGACTTTGAAGCTAACAAGCGCGCTTACAGAGCTTTCGATCGGTGGGTGTCTATCGCTGTCGTCGATAACCCTTGTTTTCTGGCCTTCGAAGTCTGCCTCAAGCTCTCTTTCACGAGCTTTATTCTGTAGCGCTTTATGTCGCGCATCCTGCTCAAGCTTTTGTCGGCAGGCGTCCACCTCTAGCGCCCTGCGACACGACTCGTCGTCAAGCTCTTTTGTACGCGATTCATCTTGATCATTTGCGCTGCGAAGCGGCTCCATCTCCAGTGCTTTCTGATGTACCTCGGCGTCCTTAGCTATGCAATGGGCCTCGGCCCCTAAAGTGCCAACCACTGGCACACGTACGCTCGCGTCTACGCGTCAGAAGCATCAAATGCGTCTCTCGGCGTCGACCTCGGAGGGGCATACGCGAGCAGGCGCGAGGGATCAAGCCGGGCTTGATATTTCGCCTCGCGTACGTACGTCACCATGCGTACAGCGGCGCCAACCAACCAGAGGCCACGATGACTCCGAATGCTGTGCCTAATGGCCGCCGCTTCGAAGGCACAGCCGAGTGCTGAAAGCAAGCATGAAAACTACTCCAAACGTTCCTGAATGACCGCTTCGTTATCTAGAACGACAACGAAACGACGAACGACTGCGAGTGCTACTAGCGTGACGCGGTTTCGTGCCGAGTTCGAGCAACGCCGACAAATCCAGCGAATGCCGGCCGGCTATGCTAGCGCCGGTCCCGTGTGCGATTGTCGGCCGAGCGAAAGGAGCATGTCGGTGTTCTTGTGCTTTGATCTGTGACTTTCTGTGCTAAAACAAGTGTAAACAGACTTCGGAGGTTCGAAGGTTTGAGCGTGAGCCCTCGCCTACCGCGGAGGCAATTCAGCTTGGTGTCATCTGCAT